GAAGACACTTATTGTAAGTCGCTTTGGATAAAAGCGTCTGCTAAATGACTGTAATGTAATGTAGTGTAATGTAATGTAATGTAATGCAACAAGAGAAGAATTTTGTTTCAGACACTGGAACCAGTTTTACAAAGTTTAGGTGTCAGTTGAGGTACCTGCTTGTTTTTGCAATATATTATTGTTGCGATGAAAGAACCATATACAATGAATGTATCTAGCTTTAGGACAGTTTGACTTCCTTAATAAAGAGATTTCCTTCACTTCTTGTACAATGTGTTCTGTTCCTTAATTTAGGGAAACAAAGGCAGATTGTCTGTTTCAGATAAAGATGATATTTTCACAGAAAAAGAAAGCAAAACCATATACATTTACACCATAGCATGATAAAAAAAACACTTGGATATAAACATAGAGATCTGTTTGCAATGCATTGCAAGTTTGTTAATACTTGCAATATATCTCAGCAATCTCAGCAGTAATAAAGCCTCAAGGACACGCTTACATTAGAGACCCCAGCTTGTTGAGGGGCCCTTAGGTCAAACCTAGTTTTAAGGCCTTTAAAAATCTTAGATAAATCAATACATTTACATTTACATACATACACAATAGGACTTTATTAGACATTTGAACATTCGCCATGGGAGAAAATGTCATATTAGAACTATGCAGCCTGTAAAAAATTCAAAATGTGCAGTCTCTAAGTGCAACAGAAGATTTGAAGTATAGTCTGCCTTTCAGGGGCCTACGACTCAGTTTTGCTCCGAGTCCCCCCAGTGGGTTAATCCAGCCCTGACCGTAGTAATACGCAGACGCGGCAGCACCTCCCACTTCCTTATCGCCCATCCCCGCCTTGCATCCCCCGAATCTCCGGTAGGTCTCCATACTGGTTGATAGTGTTTTAGTTCTCCTGGTTGCTGTTTATTGGCGTTGGGCCAGTTTTATTTGTGGCTTCAGGTCAAGCTTCACCACAGGGGATCTCTGGCTGCTGAGCCCAGCTGTGATCTTGTGAGGTTTCACGCAACCCACGATTGAGGTGAAAAATATTGTTTGTCAGTGTTGTTTTTGTTTGTCTTGGATCATTTGCTTTGTTTTCTTTCATTAATCTACATTCTTTGTGTATATTTTGGTGTCTTGCAGAAGCTTACTGCTTAGTCTGATGGTGGTTCGTGATTCTGAGGATCTTATGAACTGATCATATTTTCTTGTATGAGGATCACTGACTAGTGGCGCGAGCGCCCGTTCTAGGAGCAGTGAGTAGGCGCTCACGTTCATCCTGTCCCCTAATTGTGTGTTTGCTGTTATTTTGCACAGTTCATAATTGTATACTTACTTCTTCAGTTTGCTGTGTGTGTGTGGTGAGTAAACCCTCTTTTACAAAATACTATCTCGCCATGTTCAATGGCTATTTCATAGTTTTTACGACCATTATACCATTACAATAGTATTTTATGAGCTGATGTATTGAAACTAATACTGTCTTAATAGCCTAGTAATTGTCTATTTTAAATGGTGTGCTTGTTTAAACTTGTATTTCTATATAAGTAAATCTTGCACTCTTGGGAGATACTCCACTTCAGTTTTTCTTGTTTTTAAATTTTTTGACTATGTGGGTTTGTAGTTTCACATTAACATGACATTTAAGAGCCATTGTTACTCAACATTTTCCAAGATGATTCAAAATCTCAACTGCTTTTTTTTTCTTCCTTTTTTGGCTAAAACAAAACTGCAGTGTGCACATTGAGGGACCTGCTGACTTGTCTTGGTTCATCCCTGCTAAACTTAAGTGCTGCACAGACTGTACTTGTCTTTCTTTCTCACTCCAATAATGAGCAGTGAACTTTAGGAATTATGGGGCTGATAATGAGCAGGAACGAGCAGCGGTCAACTCACCAGTCAGAATTGGATTCAGATCCAGATCCTCGTGGCCCAGATGATTCTCCATACACTGATCACAAGGATCCTGAATGTGTACCTTAAAGTCCCAGCTGTTCTCCAAGATCGTTACAATTGCTGAAAAATCTTATGTATCTTTGCAACAAAGTTTGTTTTCGAGAAGACCACAGGATGTCACTGTAAGTTTTCACATTGGCAGTGCCCCCAAACTAACTTCTCAGGAAACAGTTAGTTGAACCTGTGCTCAATCTTTGCAGAGCTTTCCTCCTGCTGTACTGCGGTTGTTGCTTTGCTAGCTTCCAAACCTAATGACATTTTGGCTGGAGCCTGCTAGATATGGCCGGGTAACCTGGCTGAAGTAAGTCCTCCTGATCTCTTTAACCGGTTCATGGTGGTCCTGTGTTCAGTCTCACTGGGTCTCTTCCTCCACATCTTGTAGTGCTTCTTTGTTCTGTTCTTCTGTTTACTGTTTATAATATAGATGTATAGATATATAGCTATATAGATTCAAGTGTTTGTGATCAGAGGAGTGATTTTATTCCAACTCATTGATGTGCTTTTTTTTTTCATTAAAAGTCTCCAGAAGGGTTTGGAACATTAAAATATCAACACTGTTATATTTCCAGCTCACTGTTGGTGTCAGTGTCTACCCAGCTGTAATTTCAGATATAGGTCTCTACAGGAAGAAGCCAATAACAGGTATGAATCAAAGTCCAGCTGCTCTACCTGTGAGCTGAGAGGCTTTTCTGGTCTTTAACGTTTCTCTCATTGTTCTGTGTGATTCAGAGGAAACATGGAGAAGATCACAGACCATCTCTGCAGGTACAAAAACTACAACTTTGGTGTTGGTCTCACAACTCCAGAGTACATGGATTCCCTCCAGAGCTTTGAAATTCGAGATAGTGACGTACTCCTCGTCACTTATCCAAAGTCAGGTGAGTGAGACAAACTCTTCTGCTTCGCATTACTTACGTTTATTTTATTCATTTATTGTCCTTCCATTGCTGGGAACACATTTACTGATCAGGTATTATGTCTCATGATGACCCACAGGTACCATATGGACTCAACAGATCATCATCTCCATCTGTGAGTTGGACGGGGGTCTAACTAAATATCCAAACAACTTGGAGCAGATGCCGTGGCTGGAGTACACGGAGGGGCGAGAAGATTACGCCCTACGACCTTCTCCACGGCTCTTCTCCTCTCACCTCACCCCGGCTCTCATGCCCCCAGGACTGAAGGACAAGAAGGCAAAGGTCAGGAGTCCAAATCAGTGTTAATATGCGTATTAATAGCTTATCTTTACTATTTATTCCATATATACCCTATATAATGCACTGTACTGCTCTTTGCGCCTCTGGTTGGATGCTAAATTGCATTTCGTTGTCTCAGTACTTGTTGTTTAAACTATTCTAATCTAAAGGTTTTAAAGATATACTTAAAAATGTATATGATAAATCAGTGGTGGACAAAGTATTCAGATGTTATACTTAAAAGTAGAAATAACTGTCTAAATATACTCCCTTTAAATGTAAAACCTCAGGGGCCTGTTTCACACACGATATTTCAGACTGGTCTGTAGTATCAGGCCAGTCTTAATGTTGCTCAGAGATTAGTCTAATGGTAATTAGACTGTTTCACAAAAATCAAGATAGAAAGGAGATAAGATCTTTTTAAAGACCCAGTAAAATGCATTTCCTAGTTTTATTCCTGTGTTAATTGTTCATTTATCGCTTGTTAAATGTCAAATTAGTTCCAGAACATCTTTACATTATCTTATAAGCTTTTGGTGACTCGTCCTGCACTCATGCGTTTGCGTTGACCTCTGAAAGTCCAATCAATTATTTAGCCTCTCTTATTTAGCTAAGATACAAATTTAAATTACTGGCATGGAGGAGAGAGTGGTGTGTATTCATCTCTGGGCGGATTTGTTTTTATGTCAGATTATCTACGTGATGCGGAATCCAAAGGACAACATCGTCTCCTATTACCACTTCAGTGGTAACAGTGGCCTCCTGGAGACTCCCAAGAGTTTTGAGGACTTCTTTGAGCGGTATCTGATGGGAAATGGTGAGTAGCGTCAACGGCAGAATCTGGAAGATGATAACCATCTGATCATGATGAAGAATTAACAGAAAGATTGGAAAGAACATTTATGTGAAAAAACAGTTTGTATTGTGTGTGTTGACAATACCTGCACTTGTTTATGGACATTTTATATACAGTATATACATTTATATATATATAAAATGTCCATAAACAAGTCCATATATATCTTTTTGTTCAATGTACTATACTTACTTTTTTACAGCTTTTATCGACATTACATGACCGAGTTTTTCATGCTTTTTAACGAATACCATGACGTTTTTATGGCATGCTATACTATGGATTTAGTGTGTTCTAGAGTGGTTACAGCGCTTGCCATATAATCGCAAAATCTCAGTTCTGCCTGGGAAGCTTTGTTTATACTTAAAATGATATCCTCTCTCTCTACCCCCTTTATTTCTACACTGTCCTGTCAAATAACATGACATTTATATTTCCACAGCATATATTTTATGGTGCACTATACTTAGACTTTTCTGTGACATGCACATTACGCCTTGTGTAAAACCGATGTATCCATTGTACAGTTGGAGCATCATCCTGGTTCGACCACATCAGGGAGTGGCATTCAAAGAGCGACCAGTACAACATCCTCTTCTTGACCTATGAGGACATGGTTCTAGTAAGATGTGGTTGTTCAGCATTTTAGCTTGGCTCGGAAATAATACATTTGAAATTCTAATAAAATAGTTGTCAGCGTCTAAACTTTTGGGCTTCTGTGTTTTCTATTTAAGGACCTGAAGGTGGCAGTAACTAAGATCTGCAACTTCTTAGGGAGAAACCTGAGTGAAGCAGCCATTGAGCAAGTTGTGGAAAAAGCCACATTTAGGAACATGAAGAAAGACTTAAAAGCTAACTATGAGTTTTTGCCACAAGAAAAGGTGATGAAGGACTTCATGCGCAAAGGTAACGTTAACAAGACCGCAGCTCCTGTGCAGGAAAATATAAACATATCTGGTCTAGTTATTTTTTTAATTCATTGCAGGTAAGATCGGAGACTGGAAGAACACTTTTACTGCTGCTCAGAGTCAAAGAGTTGATCAACTGCTTCATGAGAGACTTGGTGATATGTCTCTGAAGTTCATCTGGGAGTAAGCAGAGCAACCTCACCAACCTCAAGATGTTTACACGTTTTTAATACAGAAGCTGTTAATATCTGTTGTGATAAGCATCAGAATAACACTGTACAACCCTTGTTTACACTTCTGACCTGGAAGAAATGAACACGAGCACTAATAAACTTGATTGGCCAATCTGTTGTCTTTATTGAACGTCAAAAGGAAATGAACTTGTTTCTTTGCGTATGATGAAGGCTTGCTTTAGTCACTGGAGCCGACTCCACACTTTAGTTCTCTTCCTCTAGAATGAGAGAAAAGAAAACAGGATTATGTGGAAACAAGTTCAGATAAGTTCTGCATTTCAGAATGTTATAAGGAAGCAGGCACATTGTACTTTAAACACCTTTGATGAAAGTGAATGAGGGCAAACAATTTAACATTTACGGGACTGATTCACAATCCAAATTGGGTTTTTTTCTTTGACAAAAGGAGACTTAAACATGATTGAAATATCATGCTTTTAGGATTTCATGTGCTACATTGTTTCACATTAATAAGATAAATTGCCCAGCCCTAAAGTGAAACAGTTTTATGACATTGATGGTAAAACTATACAAACAATATGATATTCATGTCACCAAAACCTTTCAGTCTCCAGAGTGAAACTATCGACATGCAGCCAAAGCTCAAGCTGTGTCTGTACATACATGAACAGTAGCTACCAACTAAGTCTCACCCTCTTCCTCCTCATCCTCTTCATCTTCTTCTTCTTCCTCCTCTTCATCAGAGCTGAAGGTCCCATCAGGCAGGCTGTACACCCGAATCACTTGCTGTTGACAAAAACAGAATATCGACCCATCAGCACAACAATTCACAGATAGTGTTAATGCGTCCCTGAGGAGTGACTGACGGCTCACCTTGTTGGGGTCCTTGAGGATGAGGTACTTGCCCTCGTCCAGCTTGCGGCAGATGTCAATGACGCAGCGGAGGATTCCCCAGGCGTTCTCCATGCTCAGGTTGATCTGGCTGGCGAACTCGTTGGGTTTGAACTGCTGGGTTCCCAGGACGACGTGACGAGCGGAGTCCTTTGCGTGGTACCGAGACACGTACCTGAAGAGCACACACAGAGATGCAATGACTACAGTCAGTCCACGCTGACACAAACTGTTAGAATGTCTGCTTATTGTCTCTTTACAGGTCACTGAATCTTTCATTAAAGACATTAGTTTGTGTCCTGGCTATCCACCCCAGGAACCAGCAGAGCAAATGTTTACAGAGGCAAAGGACAGATATAAGGGGTTTGTTTCAGGCGGCGTGTTTGCTGATGTGATAAGAGTGAAAACTTGGATCAAGTCCACGCAGCAAAGTTATCAAGATAACACAGTAAAGCTGCTTCTTAAAGCAGCTTTCTGAAAGTAACATGAAAGCTGCCTCCAGTGAGTCACCCGTCGATTACTTTAGTTAATGCTAGCAGCCTACTCACGGTTCACACACGTTTATTTTTTCTGACTTTGAGGGAAATTGTCATGACCACACATTTACTGAACCATTGGTGCAACCATAATAAACTGGTCCCTTGTTTTATGGTTCGATAGGGAAGCCCCGCCCCTAGAAGCCGGAGTCACGTTTGTCACCGGGGTGAAAAGGCCGCTGATGGGATCGAGCAGCAGCCGCCGCCGCCTTTAGCGTGGCTAGCTGGCGCTGCCTCTCCCGTGTTCTACATCTCAAACGTCTTTCTGAAGCCAGATAAGTTAAGAGACCAAATGTCATCGTCCTCAAAGTACACGGTGCAACTCAGGCTGGACTCTGACGTTACCCCACACAAACTGATCTGCCCCAACATTTAAGTATTGTTGGGGCAGATCAGTATTAAGTATTATTTAAGTACTGGTCACAAAACATCCATTTTTCAAATATACAAAACTTGTAAACGTGCTCAGTTTCCAGTTCACTAGGTAGACGAATATACTACAGTCCTGCAATACATCCTCCCTTCATGAAGATCATAACGTTTTGTTTTTTTTGTTAAAAGGTTTGTGGTTCTAATGAATACCTGCAGATGTTTCTATTGTTTAGTT